GATTAAATCATTAAAATCCCTTATTTTGCATTCTGAATTACAAATAGAAGTTATTGGATGAGGGTGGGTTGTCTCCTACTCTCATCTAATGGTTAATGTTATATGATTAAGTAGAATTTAAATTACACAACATTGGTTTAATTTGATTTATAAATTTATTAAAATAATTTCTCTTCTTTTATTTTATTAATGACATTTTAATAATTTCAATAATGGCATTTTTAGTAAATTTATTATCCAAACTACACTATTATAATCTAACCCGAAAATCATGAATCTCGATACTTCCTTATACTATACAAAAATGTACATAAATTTGTACATAAGTGTGATTCATGATTGAAGTACAGAAGTTTTGCACATTTTTCACAAAGAAAAAGGTCCAATTGGAATGCAGAAGGTAAAACCACCATCGACGTTGGCAGCTGCATCTTGTTTGGGAAGAGATGGCAACAAGTCTCTATAGGAATGGGGACCTCATCGCCACCCCCACTATTAACTAATACGAAGATTTCTCTACAGATTTTTGAAGGAGGAGAACATTTTTTGGCCTCCGTCTCCATTCCCACAAAAAATAAGGGATCCCCGCAACTATGGGGATTCCTTGGGAAAATATACATTTTTTTTATTTGGTTATTGATAAAATATGGAAGATTTATTTTTGCATTACTTAAACAATCTATACAATTACAAGTTTATATACAAGTAAAATACCAAATTTTACTAAGCTAAAGCCTAAAATAATGGTAACAGAAATATTTGAAGAATTGAGCTCCTAGATATCTGGAATCTATCTGTTTTCTGGTATAACTAAAATCTGGTAGCTGGTATAACTATTTGGTATAGCCGATATTACTCCCCCTCAAGTTGGAGCATGAAGATCACGAATGCCCAGCTTGCCATGAAGAAAATGAAAACTGTCTTTATTCAATGCCTTGGTCAAAATATTAGCAAGTTGATGGGAAGAAGAAATCAGCAATGGACATAGAACACTAGCCAATAATTTCTCACGAACAATATGACAGTCAATTTCAAGATGCTTTGTTTGCTCATGGAACACAAGATTTGCTGCAATATGACGAGCAGCTTGATTATCACAATAGAGTGGTGTAGGATGAGAGAGATGGATGCCAAAATTGGAGAGTAAGCCACGCAACTAAACTAGCTCCCTAGTGGTTGTGGCCATAGCCCGATACTCTACCTCTGCTGAGGAATAACACACAGTGCCTTGCTTTTTGCTTTTCCATGAAATGGGACTATCACCAAGAAGAATGAAATAACCCGTGGTGGAACGCTGAGTTGTTACACAACTGGCCCAGTCAGAGTCACAAAATGCTCTTAATTGAAGAGAACTTCAAGAAGAAGGAATAATGCCTTGCCCAAGAGTTTTCTTCAAGTAACGAAGCAAGCGATGAGCAACATCAAAATGAGGTTGCCGAGGACATTGCATAAATTGACTTAATATATTGACAATAAAACAAATGTTCGGTCGGGTAATTGTGAGATATATGAGCTGGCCAACTAATCTCCGGTACATGGAAGGATCCTTCAATAAGGAACCATCAGTGGGGGTAAGTTTCAAATTCTGTTCCATGGGAGTATCAACAGTTCAGGTGCCTAAAAAACCAACATTAGCAAGCATATCAAGAGTGTACTTTCATTGGCATAAATAAATACCTTGGGAAGAATGAGCAACTTCAATGCCAAGGAAGTATTTGAGATGACCCAAGTCCTTGAGCTTAAACTTACTGAATAAGCACTACTTCACTTCAGTGATCAAAAGAGGATTGTTCCCTATGATGATCATATCATCAACATACACCAAAATATAAACAGAGGCAAAACCCCGGGTCAAAAAAAAATAATGAGTGATCTGCATATGATTGTTGAAACCTCGTGTCAAGTAAAGAAGTAGAAAATTTAGCAAACCACATGCGGGATGCCTGCTTCAAGCCATAAAGAGACTTATGTAGTTTGCAAACGAGATCTTTCTCCCCTTTCAAGGATGCCCCGGAGGTAAAGTCATGTAAACCGCTTCATATAAATCACCATGTAAGAATGCATTTTGGACATCTAATTGATGCAAAGACCACTGTTTCATAGCTGCAATGGCTAAAAGAACACATACTATCACTAGTTTAGCAACCGATGCAAATGTATCATGGTAATCAACAGCTTCCACTTGAGTAAATCCCTTGGCAACAAGATGTGCTTTGTATCTTTCTATACTACCATCAGACTTTCTTTTAATTTTGAATACCCATTTGCATCCAATAAGCCTTTTATCTGCTGGTAAAGTGACTAAAGACCAGGTGTTAGTGTCTTCCAAAGCAGTAAGCTCAACTTGCATAGCCTGTTGCCATTTAGGAAACTTTATAGATTGATTAAAAGTAGTGGGTTCAATAGCAGAAGATAAAGAACTAAGGAAAACACAACGTTTAGAAGTGAACCTAGAATAAGAAAGACATTTATCAAGAGGAAAATTTGTACCTGGAGACGTAGAAGCTTATTAATCTTGAGCGTTGAAGCAATGATAGTCCTTATATTTGGATGGTGGTTTAATGTGACGTTGAGAACATCTTAAAGAAGGAACATGGTTCTTTGGTGTATTGGCGCTAGCACTCAAGTCAGAATGGTTAAGAAAGGCATTGTCACTAACTTGTTGTGTTTGTGTTTGTGAAGGGATAGATGGGGAGGTTGCCGGTTCATGGGTGTTATTTGGAGGCAAATTTAAATTAATGAGATTTGGATCATGGATTGGAATAGGCAGATACCTGTCATCTTAGTCACAAAGATGGATGAAAACACACTTTCAGGGAAAACAACATCTCTACTCACATAGACTCGTTGAGTGGAAAGATAAAAAATTTTAGGTTTAAGTATCATTTTGGTCCCTCAACTTTTCATTTTGGCACCAAAATTGTCCCTCAGCTTTAAAAAGTATCAAAATTATCTTCGGACTTTCATTTTCAATATCAAAATAGTCATTCCATCAGTTAAATGACAGGTGGCATGTTAAAATGCCAGCAAATCTTTTTTTTT